ACTTAATTTGATCAAGTATATGTTACAAGATTTAATTGCGCAAATTAAGTAAAATTTACCWGATTTATTCACAAATCTTTAACTATATTCTTAATAACATTTACCAGATAATGATGAGTAAATATTACATGAATTTGTAGCATTTAAATTCACTCACCAAACGTTAGTGCAAATCGTTTACAGGATTTTCTCAAGTAAATCTTACAAGTTAGACAGAAGACATGGCAAAAATAGTGCAAAATCAACAAGTCAAGAAAATAATTTTGAAAATGAAAAGTTTGTCTCAATCAAAATGCAGCAGTTGCGGAAAACCCCTGTCACTAAAATGAAACCTCACCCTGACCTAACTGTAACATCAAACACATCCAGTTTGACCAACCAGCCAAGAAGTGATAATCGTGGTTGGCTTTGTCCTGCWGCTGCAGACAGAAGAGACCCAACAGTCTGTGTCAGCCCAAACAGCTGAAGATTTATAGGTCTATTCGGCTGGGAAGATCACTGAGTTTCAGCAGCTGTTGAAGACCTTGAAACTGCATTAAAGCTGCTTTCCCCACACACTTTACCATCAATAAATGCTAAAACTTCTGTAGCCAACCTGAAGCACAAGTCAAGTGTAAATTTACAGCAGTTTAAAGGTTCATGAAATAACGTTTTGCATAAAATGCTACAAAACCTTTGTGATTAGAAGATCCACCTAATGGGGCAAAGAGGGAGAACTGCCACTAAAATCACGTGATCACACACTCTATAACTTTATGCTACTTACCGGAACACCTCTAACTCTTTACACCTGTCTTGGCCTCATCATAGCCCCCTAACCAGTGGAGGAGGAGATCAGGTGTAAATACTGTAAAYGYAYWTTGGAAGAAYTTGGGTACACAGGCAACTGTGAAGAAAATGCCATCAACAAGCTGCAACTGTTTTTTTTTTAACTGAACAAAGAATTTAAGTTTAGATGCTGAGACAACAAATACACTTATATTGTGTGTCTTTGTGTTTGAGGGTTTTTCCACAATGAAGATGAACTCTTACACTGCCTAAATGATGTAATCAAACCTGTCATGACCTGTTTATGAATGTAAACAAACAAAAGAAAGCCAGGCAGAAGTACAGTACAGTGCATTTTACTAAATTATTTCTTAATATTTTACAGATTTTCTGTTCTTTAGCAGTTATTGCATAATTTCTTTCTATTTAAAATGAAATGAARTGAAGAAGGAAAATGTAATGTTAGTAATGGCAAAAATAGCTTAGGAAAAAATAAAGAGAAGAAATAAGAAATACAGTTGAGAAAATGAAAAAAAAAGTAGATGAAACATGTAAAAGGTACCAACAGAGAAAAGGAGGAGTGGAGGAAATGAACAAAGGATATTAGAGATCATTCATCCCAATAAACCACTAATGTCAGGATGTCATGTGCAGGAGGATCTGATAGTCATAATGATGTTAATATATCCGCCCTGAGCGTGCGCGCGCGCACACAC